AGAGGTCTGCCACGCCATGTGGGTCACCTCCAGGGCTGGGATCAAACTCACATGGAAGCAGCTGTGGCTATCTTGCAGTGCTGTGTCCTAACCCGCTGCGCCACCAGGGAGTACCCTCCTTTTTAGTTTTCTTAAGCATGTAATGAATGGGTATCACTGTCGTCCTGCTGGGCTGCCATGATCTGATGCTCTTAGAATCTGCAGAAGCAGGAGCTAAGCAAGGCCACCCCATTAGAAGGAAGTGACAGAGCTGGAGCTGAGTTACTATGTCCCCAGTGACACTCCCTGCTCTGACCACTACACAGAACTGCCTGTCCACAGACGGGGACTCTGGGCAACAAGCCTGGGTGGAAAAACTATATCCTGCCCAAGTGACACTTAGCATCAAGACACAGCTACCCTGAGGAGTACCTGAGCAAACAAGGGTGAACATGTCAGCCCTGAATACTCTAGAACTCCATCTGCTTGTTCAGTAGGCTTCAAGGATGAGAGAGACCAGGTGGGGCGGGTAGAAATGTCATTGAGGACCCGGAGAGGAGGATGGAGTGGGAGGGGGCAATTGAAGGGAAAACTGGGTTGCTCCCAGAAAGCTGGCCAGCCTTGCTTTGCCACGGGTGCTGGGGAGGGCGTGCTTCCAGACTCCCCAATGCCTGGCTACCGCGAACCCCTGTTTTCCAGACTGCCAGGACCACCGGTACTGCCTCGGGAGGTCCTACTCACTCCAGGTGCCCCCAAACATCCTCCAGCTGCCCGTGGATCTACACGACTTCTCCTGGAAGCTGCTGGTACCCAAGGACAGTGTGAGCCTGGCGCTGGTGCCAGCTCAGAAGCTGCAGCAGCACACACAGGAGCGGGCCTGCAACGCCAGCTTCAGCTACCTCGTGGCTAGCACCGTCCCTGGCAAAAACCTTTACTTTGGCTCCTTCTGCTCTGGAGGCTCCATCGAGCAGATCCAAGTGAAGCAGAACATCTCTGTGACGCTCCGCACCTTTGCCCCCAACTTCCAACAGGACATGGCCAGGCAGGACCTGACCGTGTCCTTTATTCCACACTTCAAAGGTAAGGGGCAGTTCCATCGCCCCCTCTCACTTTGGCCTTTCTGTGGGCCTGTGGCCTCTTTATTCAGTCATTCATCTGCAGAGAAGGGACAGAGCTGAGGGGGCTGTTCCTCATGCCAGACAGTTGAAACACACTGAGTCCCCATCCTTATTTTACCTAGTGTGGAAAATTCCAGGAGTTACAAGTAATAAAGACTCTTCTAACAGTGGGAGGCAGTGGTTGGTAGGCAGCAGAACAAATAATCAGGTTCGAGTCTTTTTTGGAAGCAGGCAGATCAGAAATGAGAAACAAGCCAAATATTCCAGAGTCCTGGATTTTCAGTGCAATAACATAAAAATTCTTAGGCAGACATTTTTATGATTCTGCTTTGACAGTCAGGATGCAGGGTGGCGAGGCTGGAAGACAGGGCTGTGAGGGAGGCGCTTCTCGGAGCGCCAAGGTGCCAACCCTCACCCCTGAGCCGGCCTGCCTCACTGTCCTGAGGCAGGAAACCAGGTTGAAATAGGTCACCATGGTGAACCCCACCTGGTGGCTTTGAAAAGCCATAGTCACCATTCCGAGTGGTTAAAGAAACAGTCACATTAGTTAGAGACCATTTTTAAATTGACCTGTGTGCTTTTGTCCTCAGAGGCCTGAGTGGGAGGACAAAGCATCTTCAGCTATGGGAGTGAGATGGTCTGTGCTGCCTAATATCGCCAAGGTTACCAGAGAAGCCCCCTCTGGGGAGTCTTGGAAAATAAGACATTCTCATCCTTGTGGAATGTTGGGGGTTTATTTCGCCTGAGATAAGGAATGAGTTAGTTGACATGTTGGCGGCTCTTCTAGCTGTGTAGGTCTAGAATTCTCTCTAGCACCCTAAGTGTTTTTGATGTCTGGAGCAGGAATTAGTCTATACCAGTCTCCCTGACTGGTGGGGCATCAGCTGAGGGACATCTGAAAAGCAGCTGAGATGACCACCAGTTTGGTCAGTTGGCCAGGTTCTTGTTTTGTTTTCAGAAGACTTGAGCACCTAACCCTGTGCTGAGCAATGCAGGAGCCACTGGCTAGTTAGTGCAGCGATTGAAGTTTAATTCGAGTCTCCCACAGGCACAGGAGTGGCTTCTCGATGGGACAGTGTTGCTCCAGAACTTTCTGAGTTTCCCTTCACCTCAGAAAGCTCTACAGGACAGCCCCAGGTGAACCTGTCCACCAGAGTCTCCTCTATTCCTTCTTCTCTCCACTTTAGTTGAGTAAAACAGTCGGTGTGGGTTCTCTTACTTTTCCTGCAGAGGACAGTGTTTTCATGGTGACCCCGGACAATAAGAACAAGGTCTACCTGAGGACCCCTAACTGGGACCGGGGCCTGCCATCACTCTCCTCGGTGTCCTGGAACATCAGCGTGCCCAGAGACCAGGTGGCCTGCCTGACCTTCCTCAAGGAGCGGACTGGGTTGGTCTGCCAGACAGGGAGGGCCTTCATGATCATTCAGGAGCAGCGCAGCCATGCTGAGGAGATCTTCAGCTTGGAGGAGGAGGTGCTCCCCAAGCCCACCTTCCGCCATCACAGCTTCTGGGTCAATATCTCCAACTGTAGCCCTGTGAACGGCAAGCAGTTGGACCTGCTCTTCTGGGTGACACTTACCCCACGGACTATGGGTAAGGGCCTTCAGGGTCTCTAGGGGATGGTGGAGGACAGCAGGTTGGCAACCGAAGGGTAAGAAGCAAGCCTGGGATATGAAGCAGAAACACTGATGGGAATCCTGGTGGTCTGTGTATCACTCGGCTGTTGCATCAGTGCTGCATAACAAACCACTCCAGAATGCAACACTCCAGAATGGCTTACAAACAGCCATTTATTACTGTTCACATGTTGGCCAGGCAATTCTGGCCTGTACTGAGCTCATCACTCATGCACCTGAGGGCAGCTGCATGTTGGCGAAAGGCCAGGGGCATCTCATAGGCTGAGATCCAGCTAAGCTGGGGTTACTGAACTTCCTTGGCTCTCCTCCATGTAGTCTCATTATTCTCCTGGCAGAAGCAAAGAGACCCATGAGAGGACACTCATAAGGTTTCCTGGTGCTTAGGTTAGGAACATACATGTCGTCCCTTCTACAGCATTCTTTCAGCCAGCCCAGATTCAACAGCCGGACAACCAGATTCTGCCTTTTGATGGGATAAGCTGCAGGGTCACATTATAAAAGACCTGGTTCAGGGAAGGTGGATAAGTGGGGCATTTTTGTGGTCCAGCTACCACTCTCATTTATTATGACTCTGTCTGACATAGGGGACATCTCTTCATTCCTCTGATCTTCCTCAGCTGAAAGAATGTTGTTGTAGAAGGAATGATGTGTGGGCTTCTCACCTAAGCACCAAAGACAAGTACCTCGTAAAAGTATCACTGGTGATTCAGTGTCAGTGATTAAAATGTGGGGCCCTGGAAAGTGGGGCGCTGGAATCCATGAAGTGCCCTCAGAGCAGAGACAAGGCATTTGCCTTTGTCCTCAAAGTTGCAAGATCCACTGAAGAGTCTCAAGCAATGAAATACTTGTGTGACCAGGCAGTCTGTGGTGGGGCCGTGTTTGCCCTTTATTCCAGAACAAGAAGGGACCGTGGAGGTTGTTTTCTTGTGATCCCTTTTCTTTCTGGCTATCTGAGACGCTGAGTGTCTGCCCCAGTCCACACAAGTGAATAGGAACAACAGACTTTGCAGGAGCGAAAGACCCAAGAGAAGGTGCTGTCTATGTTCTCAGGTTAGCTCCTAGGCATTCTTCCAATCTCACCTTTATTTTCTGTCATTTCCATTCCTACTTTCTCTCCATCTCACCTTTGGTTTTCTTGTTGAACAAGCAAGCTTCTATTTGGTGGAGGGCGCCTGATTTATTTTCTTTTTCCTTTGTGCAATTGTAGGAAAAGGACAGCACAATGAAACAACCCTCTCCTAACTCCTTCAATTCTGACTCCCTGTTTTCTCCTCCACCCTCTGCTCTCTTCTCCACCGCCAGCTATGGCAATGTGGGGGAACACCCCAGTATAGGCCTTTGGAGTAGATCTGGTGCCCCAGCTTATTGTGACTGTGTAGCACTGCATACCAACCTACCCCAAAATTGTGCGGCTTGCACAATAATTATTTTGTATGCCCATAATTTCCTGGGTCAAGAATTCAACAGAGCACAGCAGAGCGGCTCATCTCTGCTTTAGGGTATGTGGGGCCTCGGATACCTGAAAGCCGCAGGTACGGTTCTCCTGGAGACAGATCCCGGCAGCATGGCGCTCAGTTTCCTCGAGTTTCTCACTTTGTTTTTCTCACGGGGTCTCCTCGGCTAGCTTGGGGTTCCTCACCACATGGAAGTCTCAGCGTAGTCAGACTTCTCCCCAAAACTGCACAGCCCAGAACCAAGAGGAAAGGAAATGGGCTCCTACGTGTGTATGGTGCGCAGGGAGGGCGGGACGGCGCGGCAGCCATCTTTGGAGACCACGCTTGTCGCGGTCGGCCTAACCACGCGCATCTCCTCCCTCCCTTGTGTCTCTGCTCACAGACCTGAATGTGGTCATCATTGCCGTGGTGGGAGGCGCCGCCTTGCTGCTGTTTGCACTCGGACTCATCATTTGCTGCGTGAAAAAGAAGTAGGTGGAATTTCTTAAGCTGCCTTCAGCTGATCTGACACGTCCTTATGTCACACAGACCAGAGTTATCATTAATTATTGACTTTTTTCCTAGCTTCTCATTTCTTCCTGAAGATCAGTGTGAAATAATATTGCCAGTCTATTGTGAGTTATGCTTAGAGGAGACTCAAAAAAATCTCACACCCAGCATTAGGGGGAAAAACCCACTGTGCTGACAGACACCCTGGCTTCGGCTTCAGTGCCGCCGCTGACCTGTGTGGGGTGCAGGTGCCCCGGAAGCCACTGACGTCTGCTCGGTAGAGGGTGAGCCTCGCGGGGCCTCTGAGCAGGAGACTCCCGCAGATCAGGCCTCTGAACCTGCCCCCTGTCATCTTGGTCTCCAGTTTCTAAAGCAAACTGTGTGTTTTATGCTTGTTTATTGGACCTCAAACTAGCACCCGAAAGCCAGCCCTGTGGGCGAGAGGAAGGCAGACCCAGGTAACTGACTCAGTCTCACTTTCCACCCCCTCAAGATGACAGCATCTGTTTTATGAAAGGCAAGTGTTAACCTTTTTAGACAGAGTACACACTGCCTCCAGGACCTATCAGTTCTGCTCATGTTTCTGATTAAATCCACAGCACAGGGCAACATGTGTTTTCCTTAGCATGATTTGACACTCCAAGAAAAAAAGATTTTTTTTATTGACTGGGACTGCGAGCAAACAGCTGAAATTCCCAATCAACATTAAGACGACCTAGAAACATCTCTACTGGCAAGGAAGGGCCTGCCCCCAGCAAATCCGGGGAGAGGCCTCTTCTGCATGAAATGAGAATGTACTGATATTGCAGAGGGGAAGGAACTTCTTTCAACAAAACATCATTTTATTGTTTCTCTGGAAAATTTTGCTTTACTGGGGTGCCAGATGAGAAAGCACCATACTAACCCTGAATCCCAGCTTCCTCATCAGAAGGGACTTGGGCACAGGTAGACCTAGTCCTTCTTTCACCCCTAAACTACCCTGGCCCTGGCCTGAGAAATCACCAGCCCCAGCCTTGCTGTGGGGGAGGCCACCCACTGCAGGATTGCTTAGGCCTGCCTGTCACCTGGCTGGAGGTGATAGGCTCTCTGTGGAGAATGAAGACAGCACCCTTGAACTGGTTCACCAAGCGTTTACTTTTGAGGGTCTGCGGGACACTAAACCATGTGAGGTGTGGGAGACACAGCATGAACAAGACCTTGTCTTGTTGGCTCTGCCCATGTGGGGAGGGGACCAGTTTCCGGGCAGCATGAGGAGAGCTTTGGTGAGACAAGCCCGGCGCTGGGGGTGCACAGGGTTTCAGTGGGAGCCTTCAGAACCCTCCTGGACAGAGCATCAGTGTTACAAGCTAAATGTACTAGATTTATTTTTATCTCAGAAAGTACAGAGTGCCTGTCCACAATTAGTGAGCCTTCAGCCTGTGCATTATATGGTCCATTATGTTAATTGAGCTATAACGTCCCCATCTGAATCTCCGGTCAGCTAAAAAGTCAGCCTCCCCTGCTGTTTGGCTCAGGGAGAAGGAGGCGAAGCGTTGTTTTCTGTGGCAGGGAGTGCTAATGCCTGCCCATGTCCGAGTACCAGGAAACATTACCAGCCAAATGGTAATGGTGTTATTGAGCACCCCCGCCCGAATACTGCCTTCTTTTGCGGCCTCCTCTGTTGGAGGTCACCGCCAAAGGAACCAGACCCCTCTGCTAAAGCTCAGTTCTCCTGACCCTCAGCCCCAGCTAAAAATGAACACACAGGCTTCCATCCGAGTCTCGTGTATCATTTGCCACCCAGATGGGCAGAGAACTTCCCCAGCCCAAAGAGGAATGAAGCGTTAGTTGAGGAAAGTACCAAGGAGACCTGGCAGGGTGGCCTGTGCCCAAGGTGGGTGGGCTGCGCCACCATCCATACCCGGTAGAGAAGAGGGCTTGACGGCTGTCTCCAAGCTGGGTATTTGCAGCAGCCATCAAAGCAACTTGGAGCACAGGGACTATTAAAAGTGTGCTCTGTAATCTACTCTGGTCTGTCCCCTACTCCCAAACACGGGAGACAGAAGCTGGCCTTTCTGAGAACAGCAGTTTCAGTTGCCAATGCCAAGTGAGAGCCCCTGAACGGCCTGTGTGCTGTGGAAGTGTGGGGTTGGTACGCATCTCAGGTGGTCTTCCCCTGACTCCTGTCTCGTTCCCTTTCTCCCAGCAGGACAAAGGAGATAAAAGGCCTGACTGTGGGTGTCTACAACGACAATCCCAATACCCAGATGCCCATGAAGCCCAATAAGTTCCAGAAAGGCCGCAAAGACAACGAGTCCCACGTGTACGATGTCATCGAGGACACCATGGTGTATGGGCACCTGCTCCAAAATGCCAACGGGTCCTTCCACCAGCCGGAAATGGACACCTACCGGCCCTTCCAGGGCCCCATGGGAGACTGCCCTCCCTCCCCACCTCCGATATGCTCCAGGGCTTCAACTAAAAAGTTGACCACCGACGAGCCATCCCCAGACATCCCTCCTGAGTCTGAGAGTGAACCTTACTCCTTCTCCCACCCCACCCAAGGCGACAGAAGCCTCGAGAACACCAGCGTTCCTTTGCTGGGTGTCCAGGAGCCAGAACAACCTGCAAAATAACGAACTCATCCCAAAGACTTTGCATAATTCAGGGCACTGAGATTTAATTTAACCCTTTAGCGTTCCTAACCAGGAATCCTAAAGAGGAGGAACTGTAAGGAACAGCAGGAGAGTTTCCTGGATGCTTGCTACCAACTTCTCATTTCCAGGTAGACCCGTCCTGATGGTGACATGCTGAGAATGGTGGATATTCTGATCTGGATACAATCATCACAGCTCATGTCCCTCTAAACTCAGGTTGGGTTGTAGAGCGGCTGGCAATGCCCAGTGCCAGTCACTCAGTGCAGGGTGGCAGCAGACCCTCGGTTTGGATCTGGATTGGACTGCTTCAGGTGGACTGTTCTGACTCCCAGGAGGCCTCACCAGAGGTCTCTGCTGTCACTGGGGCCCCCTGGCTGAAACGACAATGTGCTTTTTTATTACAGTTATTTATTTGGTGGTTCTGTATATTTAAGAAATTGAATGTATAACCACCCAGCTCTTTTCATGTGACATGATGATAACTCACACTGACTGGTTGGCTGTCTGGGTTTTGAGTTCTGCCAACCACCAGCTAAACAAATGCTTGTCCTCTTGGAGGTGGAAATAATGTGCAAGCTGTCCAGCCAGAAAAGGATGTGTGTGCTTGAGCAGCACTGACACTGACTGACTTTGGCCGGAGACCTGCTGGTCTCTGGCTCTGCCTGTGGTGCTGCCCCGAGACTCATCCTGGATCCCCATGTCTCGTGGCCTACAAACCCAAGGAATGACCCTGAACTGCTGTGGCGACTCTCCCAGCTGTGGCAATACTTTGGCATTTAAATAGAAATTTAGGAAGTATTTTCACCCTCTAAAAATGTTTTAAAATATACCAGAGGAGCTGTGTAGCAAATTACCCCAGATTAGGTGGCTTAAAACAACACACATTTCTGATCTTGTGGTTCTGGAGATCAGAAGTGCAAGGTGGGTTTCTCGGAGCTAAATCAAGCTGTCCGCAGAGCTGTGCCCCTGTGAGAAGCTCAGGGAGAATCCACCCCACCCCCCTACCCCCCACCCCCGCTTCAGCTTCTGGAGCCTGGTCACATGCGGCACCTGCTTGCTTCTCTGGCTTCCCTGCTGCACTTCTGAGAACCTTTACTTACAGAGCCTTCCCACAGAATACAGGAGGGTAACCTCCCCGACTCAGAGTCCTTCACTACCTGAAAAGTCCCTTTTGCCATGTAAGGTGCGCAACCACAGGCCCTGGGGATTAAGACGTAGCCGTCTTTGGGGAGACGTCATTCTGCCTACCACACTGTCCTACACCACAGCAGGAGCTACCCTGTTCCAGCCCGCAGGTATATTTTGTTTAGCCTGCAACAAATTTTAACTCTTCGAATTATAAAATGTCTACGTAAAAACCCAGATCGGAAAATCTGGCCATAATGGGACTCACATTCTTACTTGGACATAACCAGTTCGACTCTTAGCTGGGGCATCACCAGTTCACCGCAGTCTCCACCACTCCCTGGAGCCTCCCACACTGAGGCTGTGTATCTATCGCTATTGATCAAGGCCCCATAGGGCTGCTTTTCTTTTTAATGAAATGGAAAGTTTGAGACCCATATCTTCTATCAAATGAGGAGCTAGTTAGCAAGGCTGGTGTGTTTCAGAGAGCTTTTTTTCTTACACATTTCCCTCATTTATACCCACATTTCCTTCATTTTTATACTAATTACCAGCTTAGCTCCTCGGGCATTTGCCTTTGTGGCCCCTGAGCTCCGCTGAAAGGAAGGAGACTATGGTGTGGCTCCTCAGTGCAGCCCAATATTTCTGTGGCAAAACCTTCCTTTAAATACAAATGACCTCAGGCATTCCGTGACTTCACCTTGGCATCACGCAGGCTGACTACCACGCCTCCCGGGAAGAGTTTTGCTGTCCCCTACATGATGCATATACCAAGCCTCCTGAATTCTTTCCAGAAGGAAGACTTTGTTAGTTTGGGGTTTGGGTGGCTTTTTTGTTTGCTTGTCTTTAGTGATGTCCTTGGTGCTACAAATGGCACATTTCCTTTCTGAAAGATTCACGCCTGCCCAGTTACTGTGACCTCTTGGGCCCAGGTGCTGGCAACCCCCGCTATGAAGGGCCAGAGCAGAGTGGTAGCTTCGTTCCCTCAGCTGAAATGGCATCCTTGCTGGAAGTCACCATCGGAGCCACGAAACTCCATTCTCTGTCTTCCCGGACCTCCTGGCCTCTCCTGCGGTTCCTCGGCCTATGCGCTGCCTTCCACTTGGACTGTGGCTGGCCATCTTGGGGACTCACCACCATCGTACACGTCGCTTTTCTTGACCAAGGCCCCATTATCATCTTTTAATGGAGATCTCAGAATTCCAAGCCAAGTTGCTGTCTTCCTGAGACCTCAGGCGGATGTAATGTTTTCTGTAGATGTACCTCCTTGAACAGGCTCAGCCTGACGTACCCCTAGCTCTTCCCTTGAGAGCCCAGGCCCCACTTATGTAAAGTATTTCAGAAGCCAGTCAAGCATACTGCTGAAGCCTGCTGAGTGCCAGCACAGCGCCCTCCACACTGGGCCTCCTCATACCCAGCTGCCTTCACCCCTCCGCTGTGCCAACGTGAAAGTTCCTGCAGGACTGACCTCAACATCCGGGGTCTGTTCGCACAGGACAGGGGAAGCCTCGAGGACGTGTCAAGGGGAAAAAGCCTAAGTCCATGGGACAGAACCTTGTGGAAGTTCAAAGACAGGTCTGTATGGATCTCAATGCTAACTGGAAGTAATTTATTCATTGTAAGTACATTTGTGGTAGCGTTTAGCATTTTATTCATTTCCTACAGTTTTGTTTTTGTTGTTTTTTTTTAATAAATAAGTATACACAAAAAATGGGCACCGGTTGTTTAAATCCTTGGCCGACTCGCTGCCTGGCCTAGCAGAGGCTCCAATTTCCCACTGACTGAGACAGATGAACTTGGGCTTAGCAGATGCTGCCTTCTCTGTGTGTTTATGGCCCAGGGACCCCCACCTTGGGCTGCCAGTGGATAACCCAGGCCAGGGCAACTCAACCAGAAATCCACTTTCCAAATAGTGTTATCACACAGTCAGTGCCAGCGACAGGCCAGGAGTGCTGACTCCTCGTCAGACCACGGGGCTTCCCGGGCGTCTTACAGCAATGGTGTCTGGGCTCCCAAACAGTGTCCCAGGGTAGGAAATCGGAGCTGCCAGCCACTTGAGGCCTAGTCTGGAAAAACTGGCACAGAGTCATCTCTGTTGTATCCTATGGGCACATCCGCCACAGAGGCTGCCCAGGCTTAGGCGGGGAGCAAGCCCCAGCGCCTCATTGGAAGAGGTGTCAAAGAATGTTTATCTGTCTTTAACATGCTAGAGCATAGCCAGATTATCACAGCCAAGTGCCTAGGCCTTTTTCTTGCTCACTAGATTTCCAGATCTGGGTCATATCCCAGGTCTCTGCCTGCCTCTTCTGGGGTCTCAAGCCTGAGTCTCTGGCCTTTTGACACTGTCCCCATGGGATTCCAGCTGGGTCCTCTATAACAATAGGGCCCTAAATCTTAGCCAATATCTGCCTGGGTGCCAGTCCCACATTTTCAGCACCTAGTAGACTGGTCAGCTCCTCTACCCAAGTGGTACCCCACATCCAATTCATTCGCACTTCACCCTAAATCCTTCCCTCTTTAAAGAAGTTCATTTCCTGACTCTGCCCCTAATAAGCAGTGTGGCCTGAAATTGGCTTCTCTTTCCCTCTACACAGAGTAAATCTAAAGTTATTTCCTTCTCTAAAATGTTCTGATCCCCCAGTCACCCAGGCCCAGAATACGGGACCCAACTTTGGTGCATCTCTGTCACTCAGCCTGATCCAGATTCAACAGCCTGCTCCACTCATCAGTCCTTACTCATTATGTGACTTCCTGGCTCTGCAGAATTGTCCCTCACAGCAAAATCCTCCGTCCCCTGCCAAGGGGCAGCACCTCCAGCTTACCTTTGGCTTCCTGTCTCTCCCGGTTCACAGCTGGTGGCAGGGCCCTCATACCCGAAGGAGTGGCAAGTGGCTTTCCTTCAGAACACTGGAGTTTTGAGTTTCTGCTGGTGTCCCCCTCACCTGTGGTTAGTCCCCCCACCCCCACCCCCCCACATGTACAGCCATATGGTCTGGATCATTTGCTGATAAGATCTAGGCTCTGCTAACAGTGAAAACAAACCTTAAAGAGAGAGGTAGCATTTTTCTCTCTCTTGTACTTTGAGATCTACGGCCAGTTTAACCACTGAGCTCAGGTTTCAGCATCAGAGTTTCACCCCAACATGCTCAAAATCCCCTGGGCGCCTCACAGGCACTCCTGCCCATATCTTTGCTCATTCCCGCCTGGCCAAAAGCTGCACCCTCTCCCTCTGATCATGCTTCAGAGTCTCGACACTGCCTCCAGGAAGCCCTCCCATCCCACCAAACTCCCCTAAATTCAATAGTCCTAAGGATCCATAACACTGCACTCAGGTTCATTACCTTCATTATTTATATACAACAGCTTCCAGAATAATGTAGCAAATCACATTTGATTAGATGGCTGGGTTCTCCTCATTCAGACATTTATTTTGTCAGGTTCATATCTTAACAATTTGAGAGACTTTAAAGAGATGTTCCTTCATCCCATCACTCTTCTTAGATTCCACTCTAAAAGTCATTGTATGCTTCAAATTATTTTACCTTATCTTTATGTGCTATCTAAATGCTTCCATTAAAAAATATTGAAGAAAAAAAAGATTGAGTGTCATTTAGTATTTACGATTTTTTTCAAAAGGCATGTTTTTGGCAGGCTTTAAATAAGGGCCAGTGTATAATACAAATGCAGCCCATTATAACATTATAATAAAACCTTGAATCTAGCAGTAACACAGTGTTTTGTTTACATAATGGGCACTAACTAACCTCAAAGTACAACTTGTCACTGAAAGTCTAAGGATTTGACAAAGAGCAGTAATCACCAAGGAGACCCGAGTGAGCCCATTTGGACAATGAACAAGCTAATTGGAAATGTTCATCCATATGGGAGGTTTCATCATATTACAGAGTTCATCTTTATTTCCCCCATTCTGAGCAAGGCTTGAGTCTGCTGAAACTGAAGGCCTCTGTAAGCCCTGCTTGAGTACATTATTTGTCCTCTGGCTTCAGTGGAAAGAACAGTTTCTATACCTTTTCTGTTCTGCTCCAGTTAGTGGCCCATCCCTTGGGCCAGTGTCTGTCTGAGTTCTCACACCTGTGTCCAAATTGCCTAGTGTCTTAACATCGAATGCAAATTCCTGGGCCCCACACACAACTGCAGAATCAAGATCTCAAAAACAGCAAACCATACATTCTCAACAAGTGTCTCAGTCTTCAACTAACTGGGCAAGACTTTTATTCAGAAAGGGGGGGGGGTCTTAGTACATTCCAACTGCTATCACAAAATAAAATCTTGCTTGCCAATTATTCCTTTCACAGATTATGCCTATGCTGTCCTACCTAAAAATTTGTCACCGTAGTCAAGTTCCTCTAGTTTTCTTAGGTTCATTTTTTTGTAAAGGGTATAAGGCCTATGACTCAACTGAGGGTAGTTTTCTTACTTCTATTATTCCCAGTCATTTCATTTTTATATATTCATTAGAATTTTTAAATCTTAGTAACCTTACTTTCCAGTGAAAACTAAGAAGCAGGCAATTATGAACTATCATATATCAGCATTCTACAGTAGATTAGTATAACTGTTAAGATGTATTTAATGATTTCTAGAGATATAAGTTTCTCATAGCACAATTTTCTTGGACATACTTACTCATAAACCCAGATAGCTTTCTCTCTGTAAAAATTAGGTAGCCAAAGGTAGATGAATTTATGTTTAGCAATTAGTGATGCAGAAATTTATCTTTTTGGAAATCTTCTAGACATTCAGTGAATATACATCATTCAACTTAGCATAGGTTTATGGTCTCAAGGTACCAAAGAAAATGGAGAAATAATTTTAAGCAGATATTGTTGAAAAGCTCATTTATAAACTTTATCTCTT